CTAGAGCAGGATGTAGTGCAATGAGAAAAGTCTCCCAAGCCACTGAAGGCATCACCAGCTTGTTTATATCTTCCTCAAAAGTGCAAGAACTTGAGCTCCAGCCTCACTGTTTGAGCCGAAAATTCCCTGGAGAAAGCCAGAGGCAGACACAAACCTTGGAAAACTTCAGCCCATGGAGTTAGTAGGAAGCTACTGAGATAATACTGAGCATCCTTCCTGCCCAACTGAGGTGCAGTGCAACAAAAATCAAGGGGGGAAAAAAAAACAACCACAAGGAAGAAATAATCTTTGCATTTTCCTCCTGGGAGTGTCCTTTGGGACATGGCTTGGAGCCGAAACGTCAGTGTGATTTTCACACCAGTTTCTCTCCCATTGATTTCTCCTCCTGTTTTTTTAATCGGAGATTTGGTTCTCTCACAGCATCACTAGCAGAGATGTCTATTTTAGGAAACACCAGAGGTTTTAAGAGGCTGAGGAGAAAAAGATTATCAATTCATATGGGCTCAGCCTAGAAAGGGAGAAAAAAAAAATCCTTTAATTAAAATCCCCAGGCTGAAATTCTCTGCAGATTTACCTAAATGGACTTCAAATGATGTCCCTAATATATCAGGGCCTGCTTTTAACTTAATTCAAGCCTTGGGCATGTGTCTGCAGCCCAGGACAAGCTGCACTTTGGATGCCTCACTGAGATGATTATTTTGAAGTGCTAAATCATGCAAGTGTAAAACCCAAATACAAAAACCTGGGCCACTGATACACCAGCCCAAAGCTCCAAGCAGGAAACAGGATTTTTTTTCAGTTTAGTATGTAAGTATTTGTTTCTATTTTCCCCAAATTTAAGCTGTTCCATTGGCAAAATCTTGCAGAAAGGACAGACATTGAAGGTTTTCTGGTTGGGGAGCAAGAGCTGAGTCTGTGAAGGAATAATTGAAGGTTTGATTTTAGTTAAAAGGGACGTTTTGTTTCAAAGCTGCAAGGAAGGTTTTTGGGTGCTCCCAAAAGTTCAGCCTGAACATTTGCTTAAGAAGTCAAAGGCTTTAGGAATTATCTGGGGTTTTGAATGAACACCAAAAGGTTGAACCTGCCTGGCACAAAGAATCCACACAAGGCTGAGCCAATTTTGCCTGAAGCAAGCGCAGAGTGCGTGGACAAAGTGGGAAAATGGCTCATGGGCTGCCAAGCACAGAGGAGTCTCCAGTCCCACCAGGAACAGGGACAGTGCCACGACATCCCAAAGAACAGAGGTGGAAGAAGCTGTTTGTCAACCTCCTCCTCCATGGCTCCCCCTGGGGAATAACCACATCCCCCAGCCCAAACTCTCTCTGCCTCACAGACCACAACCCTGGTGGGAGTGTGGCACATGAGATGAGGTCCAAGCCACACACCAGAAGCCACGGGACCAACCAGCTCTGTCTGCTACTTGCTGTTGGGGGTTTGCTTCTCCTGCACCAGCCTCTTGTGCTTCTGGGCGATGCCGTAGGGCACGTGGGCAGCCACGGTGCCCATCTCCTTGGCTCCCTCCACGTGGAACATCTGGTCATCAAAGAAGATGTGAGGACGGATCTTCTTGAGCAGTGGCCCCTTGGGAGCACCAGCCAGGAACAAAGCCTCATCCGTCTCCAGGCCCCAACTGCGCAGAGTCTTTAGAGCCCGAGCGCCCGAGCTGGCCGCGCTCCGGGCAGTCACCAGGTAGGTACGGATGGGACACTCCAACCTCAACCCCTTGGAGTAGAACTTCTTCTGCAGCTTCCCCAGTGCCTCCAGGAAGCCCTTCAGGGGGCCCTGCCAAGGGAAGAAAACATCTCTTTAATGATCTTTGTGTTATCCTGCTTTCAGGCATCTAGTTCCAGATGTGCTGGGTAACCATTTGTCTCTGTGAACCCCAAAAATGACAGCAAAGTGCCTACCACAACCATTCCATGAGCCTACCCCACTTCATGCTCCACATGCCATCTCTGGCTTGTTCCCAGAGAGCACAGAATCATAGAATTTTAGGGGTTGGAATGGACCTTCTAGATCATCCAGGGGCACTGGGACAAGATGATCTGTAAGGTCCATTCCAATCCCTAGAAGGGGCTGGTGGGGTGGTGTGAAGGGCTGGGAGGGATGGAGGGGAGGGATGCCAGGGTGGTGTGAAGGGCTGGGAGGGATGGAGTGGTGGTGGTGGTGATGGATGCTGGGCTGGGCAAGTGATGGGGAGGGCTGGGAGGGGTGGTGAGGATAGCTGGTGCAGTGGACTGGGAGGGGTGGCAGGGCAGTGGGGAAAGCTGGGATGAATGGCTGGGTGGTGGAAAGGGCTGGTGGGACAGTGAGGATTCTATGACTCCATGATCCCATGGGCAGGGACACCTCCCACCAGAGCAGGTTGCTCAAAGCTTCATCCAACCTGGAATGAACACTGCCAGGGTTGGGACATCCTCCTTGGACAACCTGTTCCAGCATCCCTGTGGGCTGTCCCCTCTCCCAGAGCCTTTTTTCCTGGCTTCACCCCAGCACTACCTGTGCCAGAGGTTTGTTCTCATGAGCCTTTTCGTGCTCAAAGAACATGTCCAAGCCGTGAGCCTTCACGATCTGCTCTGACTCATCGGAGAAGAGCACGGCGTCTCCGTCGAACGCCACCCGCAGCTGGTTATCCGACACCTCCAGGTCTCTGCTGGGGCTGAAGATGGTGGCTGCAGCAATCCCTGTGGAGGTGAAGCATGAGGCAAGAGGTGGCAGTTATCCAAGGACCTGTCCTTGTGGCTCATCCGTCGAGGAGCAGAGCAAAAAAACAACAATGGGCTGGAAGCAAACACTGCAAGGAAATGCACGCACCCAGGAGCGCCTGCAGCTTGGCCCCAAGACCTTTTACAGCACAAACAAATCCCCAGAGAACAAATCACCCTTTGCATACAGGAATTAATGAGGAAAAACACTGCCTTTGCCTTGGAAGAGCTGTGGAGCTCAAGGAAAGGCTTATTTCTATGGAAACTAGAGGCTCTTCGGAGCGTCAAAGATGTGGGACAAGGTAGACCCTAACTGCATGTTGATGTAGGGTCGTGGATATTTGAGCTATTGCTTCTGGCATCAACCCCCTGAGGACGCCAGGCTCCCCCCACTGCCCTTCCCAAGCTGGACCCCAGACTCACCCTCTTCAATGGCCCCACTCACTTTCTCGGCGTCGGAGGAGAGGTAGAGGTTGGCGTGATAGGCCTTGAGGTAACAGATGGGGCTGTTCCCTCCCGTCATGCAGAACCTCTCGATGAACAGATCTGAGGGCAGACAGACCCCAGGGTGAGCCTGACTGTCCTCCCAAACAAGCCTTGATGCTGCTCCCTCTGGCACCCAAAGAGTTTGAAGGATAGCGGCTCATTTTGGTCTTGCTGTCCAACAGCATGACCAACACCTCACTGCCAGCCAACTCCCACTCAACACCCAGGAAATGTGGGAGAAGCAGCTCAGTGGGTGGTTTGGAGGAAGAGACAGAAGAAAACATCTCCTTTTCTGGTTGCCAAGCAATAACACTGCCCAGAAGCCACACACACAGGATGGCTTCACTCCCAGCTTACCGTAGTGGTTGATGCTGTTGATCAAGCGAACCCCAACCTGGGCATGGTTGTTGGTCATGAGGACGATGTCAAAGAGCTCCTCACTGTCAGGGTAGAGCTCACGCAGTTGTGTGTTCACTGCTTCCAGTGCCTGCAGCACCACAGGGAGAGGGGAGAGGTATCAGTGAGCCCCAGGCATGGCCTTGACCCTCTTCTCACTGAGCAAGACACTTCCCTTCACCAAACCCAGAGACCTGGCCCGACCCAGCTACACCCTGAGCCAAGCTAACATCAGCTGGGAAAAAAACAGACTGATTTGGAGGGGAAAAACTCACAGCTATACTTCTATTTTCAAACACAAAAGGAAATGAGAATGAATCAATTAGTGCCAAGCTACAGATCAGTGTTTTTCAAGCAGTCAGAAACAGAACAAGTCTCTCTGCACTGAGAGGGTTAGTTTATTCACTGGGAACAGGCAAGAGGTTGCTGCAGTGAGGGCCAACACCCAGAGCTGCACAAAATCCAGGGGAAGTGGGGCAGAAATTAGAGAAGATTTTTCAAGTTTGAAATGCCTCATTTCAACACGTCAGAATTAGAAATTGGCTGACTCTGCAGCGAGGCTGAACTCAGCCAATTTCCAAGAATAAATAAATAGCAATAATCATTTGAAAAACTTCTGAAAATTCCCTAAAGGAAAACTTTAAACATGATCCGAAGAGATGATTTCTTCAGTTCTTGGGCTTAGTTGCCAATTTGGAAAATCCAGCCCTGGAAGCAGCACATCACTTGCCAAGGGGTTTGTTTGCCCTCTGTTTGCTCTGTGGCTACATCCCATCCCTTCTGCCACTCTGCTCACTTCCCATCCCTTCCCAACACAAGCATCCCACAGCATTCCCCCCTCCCCAAAACCTTCAGGTCAGGACCACAGTGCTGCTTCAGCCTAGGCAGGTGGATGCTCACCTTGACGAAGGGGAAGGCAGCCCCAGGGAGGAATGGCTCATTCTCATGGTCCAGCTGGTACTTCACATAGGCCTCCACCCCTTGCTCGTTGTAGATCTTCTGCTCCTCCTCCATGCGGAACAGAGCGCGCGAGGACACGGCAATGGTGATGGCATTCTCAGGCTTTGGCTGTGGGGAGAAGGAGAAATTGGGGAGGCAGCCCCTGCTCCCAGCACCACTGCCCAGGATGGTTCACTCCCAGCAATGAGAGTCCACAGGGTGGGTGACATCTCCATAGTGATTTTGAGGACAACGGGGCAGTGACAACCCTGATTTTCCAGTGTTTCCACAGATGAAACCCTGACACACCATCCCCACACGTTCAGGATACGTGAGATCTCATTCCCAAGCCCTCCCACTGCAAACAGACTCCCAGACCCAACATGCTACTCCAGGGAGAACCACTCAACCCCACGCAGAAGGAATTTGTGTGGCTTTTCCCACCCCCCAGCCAGGAAAAACCACACGCTGCAGCTCAGCCAGATCCGCATCCCATGATGCTGTCCAGATGTGACAAACAACCCGTGCCAGCTCAGCTTCTAAAAACACTTGATACAGTTATTGTGGGTGGAAACATGACAAACAGGTGGTGCAAGCAAAGATTTATGACTCATTATTATTAATGTTCAAGGGCTTGATCCAAAAATCCACTGAAGTCAACAAGGCGCCTCCAGTGGGACTTGGCAGGGAGAGTGAAGACACTGGGAAAGTCAATCCCATCTTGACCCCCACCTGTCCACCCTCTGTCCTTGGAGGGCACAGGGGTGTTAATCCCCATCACTCACTGGCAAGCATGAAAATAAGTTAATCACTGATGGGCAAGGAGAAATCCTCACTGCCAGGACAGCAAATCCTACGGAGGGACATTGCACCAGGAGCCTGCAGCGATTCCAGGAAGCAGGACAAGGCTTGGAGGCTCCCCAGGAGCTCAAAGATTCATCTCCACAGGGAGCCTGTGAAATCCAGGCCGTCAGCACTGCAGAAACACCTCACCCTCTGTGATCTCCAGGAGGCTCTGTGGCATGTTCCCCTGTGAGTAATCCTCTGGCAGTGCCAGTTTGCCCAGGGCAAGGAGGATGCTCCAAAGTTCAAGCTCCCACCCTGCCTAGGGCTGAGCTTAGCAGGAACAGCAGCCTGACAAGGACAAGGTGCCCCATCCACATTGGGGATTTGCTCCCTGCAGGGCTGGGCTTGCCCTGGGGCTCACTCTGCCCCCAGCCTGGCATGGGGACGCACCCAGGAATGACTCAATGGGAGCTTCCCTACCATTCCCAGCTCCACACCCCACTATAAGCAGTGCCTGGAGCCAGTGCAGTCGGTCCCAGGCACCTCTCCAAGGCTCCATCTGTACCCAAAATCCGCAGAAAAGAGACTGAGCAGTGGGTGATTAGAACGAGGCACAGATTAGCTCAGGCTGAGAACATCACTGCGGTCAGAGGGATCTCTTTCCCACAGCATCTGCAGGGAAATAAGGTCCTGGTTTTAGGACTCTTTTAGGAAAGCAGGTGAACAACCCTCAGGCCAAGCAGGATCACCCAGATCCATGCAGGAGCTGATCCAGGACATCAGCATCACTCCAAATGAACCACAGCCAGGTCCCCAGTTATATTCAGCTCCCCAAGGGGTTTCAGTTATTAACTGGTCACAGGCCAAGTCTTGGCACTTCAGTTCATTAATTACTAACTCTGGTGTCATGGGCCATTTATTAGCTGAAAGGATTAATAACTATTAAAGGTCCTGGGACATCCGGCCATTAGCCAGAGTTCTGCCACTCCATCCTGCTCCCTGATCCTAACCCCTGAGAGACCACAGGGCAGAGCATCCTCCAGAGCCAGCCCTGCAGGAAGATCACCAGGAGAGAAAACAGGTCAGCAGCCCATACATAACAGCACAGAGGCATGTTCAGGGGGGAGAGGAGGATGTTTGGGAGCATAAAAATCAAGCCAGGTGCCCAGAGGGAATTTCCATCTCTATCTCCCCAGACACACCTCACTCCCAGAGGGTGTACCCACACCTTACGCAACAGCAACAGGCTGCTCAAGGTCCTTCCCTGCCACTTAAAGGCAGCAGCCTCCAGGAGGTTCATTTAAGAGGCAATAAACACAGCAATAAAAATAACCATAAGCTTGGGGCCTGACTCTGCCCCAGCGTGGGCAGCTGGAGCCCCAGGTGCCTGTGGGCAGGAAGCTTGGCCTCTGGGAATGGGACCTGCTGGATCCTGTTGGCTCCTGCCAAGGAAGATTTGCACCTTTGGAGTACTTTTAGTAGGAAAGTCTCACCCGGGTGCTAAGGCAGCTCCCAGCTCGGGCTGGGCTGGAATGGCCCTGCTGTTCCCTGGGAAATGCTGATATTTAGAAAACAAGGCAATTCTGCTCTGTGAGGAGGGCTCCACATTTTGACATTTCTTTGAAATAGAGGGTTCATTTGGAAGCATTCTCTCCTCGAGGTTGGTTGGATGCTTCTCCATCCTCACTGGTACTGCAGATGGTCATTACAACATTCACAAATGGGCTTTAAAAAGCACTCCAGGAGCTACATCACCTCAAATCCTCCATCAGAGTGCTATGAACAGCACTACAAACCTCACTTTTCCTCCAAAACTGTGATGTTTCAAGGCAAACAGACTTCTTTTTGAATAGGAACTGTGCATGGGGGGATCTCACCTACAGTCCTGGCATTTCATCTCAGAGTCCCCATCCCAATACAACCTCCTGCTCTGGCTGCCCCAGCGGGTTTGGACACTCTGAATTATAAACCCTGTTTTCCCCTCCGAGCAGTATCCAAGGTCAGCCAAGGGCAGTTAAAGCTCATCATCCAACACAAGCTGAGGCTCCACTCAGCCGAATCCAACTGAATTTGCTGCCTGGGGACTCATGGTGAGCTCCTCTCCCTTCCCACGGGAAGGTCAGATGCAGCTCCATCCTGAACATCCATCGAGAGATTAATGAAGTGTTTAAGAAAAATATGAGCAAGACAGCATGGGGGAAGGTCTCATCCCAATCCTGGGTCCATCCCAGGGCCATGCCCCAACAGCTCAGCCCTCTGAAGAGGAACATCAACCCTTGGCACAGCTCCAGATGGTCCACAAAGTCCAAACCCCATCTCAGAAGCATAAGTGAACTTTCCAGCAGGCTCCAGCTCCATCAAGTGCAAAACTCATCACAGACCCAAACCTCTCAGTTTTGGGGGAAGGATGTATTTCAGGAGTGACTAGAAACAGTCCATTTCCCTCTGCAGACCCAACAGCTGGCAGCTTTTAAATCGCTCTTCTAATCAGATGTAAATCCTAAGCACCCCCTCCAGGATTAGAGGCAGATATTTGGAAATCCCAGAGGATCCCAGGATGTGCAGCAGGACCATGTCCTCTCACCCACGAGAGCCACAGGTGCCCACAGTGACACCCACCCAACCCCAGCAGCTTCACTGCCACTCCTGGAGGGCAGCACTGGCAGCAGCCACAGTGCTCCATCCTGCACCCCTTGATCCTACTGCATTGCCTGGGGCTGGATCTGCTAGACCCAACTCAGTCCCCAAATTCTGAAGCAATTTTGGCAGCTCCAGGCACTTCCCTAGGTGCTTCAGAAGACCAAATGCTTGTGATCAAATTCAATATTTGGAGGTAGATTTTAGAGTGAGATTTAGTCACAGAAAGGGAAGAGGAAGAGTTTGCTCCAGGATCAAGCATCGTCCCCACTCCAGCTACAGCATCCCAAAAATCAGGCACCCTGGAGCTGGATGGGTCCCCAAAGGAAGAGAGCAGAAGGTGGCCAGCTCCCAGTGACCCCAGTCAGTGTTACTAGAGACGCTGGGGGATGTTTTCAGCATTGCTGAAGGGTGACAGGTCTCATCACTGACCTCCCCAGCTGGCAGAAGCAAGGCTGGAGCAGCTGTGGGATCTGGGGCCGTGGGAAGAGCAGAGACCCCTGCAAAACAGGAATACCCTGGAAATCCATTTCCCAGCTAGGAATGGGCTCCCCAAAATCATCCTGACACCTTACAGCTCCAGGAGGGAGCAACTCCCCACAGCTCACACCTGCACCCCCAGTGGTACCTGCTTTGGCTGGCAGAGACTTTTGGCTGAGAGGGCAGACAGACCTGGCACCCCTAAGGGCACAGACAGATGATACCAAACCTCATTTCCCCTGTGCACCAAAGAGCCCTGGGCACTGTCACCCCTTGCTCAGGATCAGATTAAAGTTCAGGGCAACGGCTGGGATGTTTTTGAGTTTTCCAAGAACATTATTTATACTGCGGAAAAGCTCTCTCTGCAGCCATCCATCATGGACTGGCAGCTGCCTGGCAGGGCAGACTGGCTGTGAGTGAGGGCAGATAAACTGTCTGCCCATGGGCACAGAACCCCCACCTGCCCCAGCAGAGGGGCATAGTGCTGGGCATCATCCCCAGCCATGCACAGGGGGATGGCACAGCCTAACTACAGGATCTAAGTGCCTGGATCTCTGCTCTGCCACTAGCCTGATGGGCAAGCAAAGCACATCCTTACCCCATGCCACGGTTTCACCAGTTGTACAGCAGAGATGGGTGTACTGGTCACTGAGCTGGCTGCAGGGGGAGGAGTCTGGGCTGACATCTGCACAGGCTCAAAGTATGGCATGAAAGACAACTAGCTGCATCCTGCCACCGAGCCAGGCTGTCCCTCTCATCTGGTAAGGGCACAGGCAGCAGAAATGCCAGCTGGCAACAGGGCCAGGGGCTGCAGTTGGGTCCCCAGTGGGCAAAGCACAGAGGCTGCTCCATGTTAAGAGTCCCAGAGCAGTGGGTTGGCCGTGTCCCCTCACCAGAGAGGTCACACACAGAGTTTTGCCACAGAAGGTGCCAACTGCCACCAGATCCCTGATCTCACCATGGGTAGTGCTTCTGCCCGAGCCCCAGAGCCTCGAGGATGGCTGTGGTTATGGTTATAGCTGGGTGGGCTTGTAGGCTGAGGGATGAAAGCCAAGTCCAGCCCGGGCACAGCCCCCAGCCCTGCCAGCCTCACACTGCCACAGCTATTCCAAGATACAGCAGCACTTCCAGGCACTCCCGTGTTTAAACACTGCAGGCTCAGCCCTGGTTAGATAACACAGGCTTTCCCTCTAATCTCCCAGAGCAGGAGAGCCTGGCAGGGGCAGCTACACCCCTGTGACACCCTGGGCAAGGATTCGGCTCCTGGACTGTCCCACTGCTCCGACACTGCCACCCTTCCTGTCCCTGGCTGGGCCTCCTGCCTTGGCACAGGGGACTGGCAGCTCATGGGGCACAGAGCCACTCTGCAAGGACATCTCAGCCCAGGAGAGATCCAGGAACACCCCAGGGACCTGCAGGAACCCAGAGACATCAGGGGGATCCGGAGAGACTGCAGGTAACCAAGGGATGCCACGGAAGAGTGGAACCTAGAGAGAACCAGGGCATCCCCAAGAACCTGGATGGACTCCTGGGGTCAAAGATAAAACAGGGACAGCCAGAGGGACTACAGAACACCTGGAGGAGATGGAGCACCTGGAGAGATTCAGGAGGACCCCACAGTGCATGAAGGAAATTGGGCACCTAGAGAGACACAGAGAGGACCCCAGAGGGTCTAGGAGGACATGGAGCACCCAGAGAGACTCAGGAGTGCATGGAGGAAATTGGGCACCTGGAGAGACTCAGGGGGGACCCCAGACAGAGGGTCTAGGAGGAGATGGGGCACCCAGAGAGACTCAGGAGGACCTGACAGAGCATGGAGGAATTTAGGCACCTGGAGAGACCCGAGGGGACCCCAGAGGGTCTAGGAGGAGATGGGGCACCCAGAGAGACTCAGGAGGACCTGACAGTGCATGGAGGAAATTGGGCACCTGGAGAGACCCAGAGGCTCTAGGAGGAGATGGAGCACCCAGAGAGACTTGGGGAGGGGGTTCCACGGGGGAATCCAGAGAAGACGAAGCATCCAGGAGGACCCCAGAGAACCCACAGCTGGAGAGACCAGAGGGTACGCGCAGGAGATGGGACACGCGGAGCAGGGAGCGCACCCAGCGGGGCTGAGTCCCCTCCGGGGCAGGGAGCGCAGCGCGGCTCGGACCCTCGGGGGGGCGAATCTCACCGATTTGGGTTTCTTCTTGGGGGTGAGGTTATCGTAGAAAGCTTTGTCTTCATCCCGGGCGGGCTCGTTCTGCCCCGCGGGGAGCGGCGGCTCCATG